CAGGTTTCGGGTTCAACCCCTAGTGGGGGTGCACAAGGGAGGCAACCTATATATGATGTTTCTCTCATATTTCCATGTTTCCCTCCCTCCCTACCCCTCTCTTTAAAATCAGTAAAACATATCCTCGGGTGAGGATTAAAAAAATATCACATGGCTTTGAGAAGATGAAAAAGTTCCAGTGATCGATGGTGGTGATGGTTGAACAATGTGAATGTTCTTAATGCCAATGAACTGTACACTCAAAAAATGGTTAAAATAGTAATATAATGGTATGTATATTTTGCTGCAATAAAAATATAACTTTATGAAACAATTTGTAATTTTAACTCTGACTAGATATTTGATTTTATTCAAGAATTTTTTTAAATTAACATGGCCAACATCTTTACACCCATACACACAAATTAATTCCTCCCAGAGTCTTTCCTAATGCCCTCTTCAAGCACACATTGGCCAAAGCCCAAATGTCCACTCATCCACTTACTTGCACAAGCCAAAAATCTAGTCTCATGTAATCCATTAGTAAGTCCTGTCAGCTCTTCTAAAATATCATCTGATTCCACCCCCTCTCACCTGGCTGTCTAAATCATCATCATCTCTTGCTTAAATAATACTCCTACAGCTGCCTAACTGGTCTTACCTCCTTTCTTATCCCTTTATAGTCCATCCATTCCTCCCCCATCCCGCCCCCGCCCACCCCCCAGCAGTCAGAGCAATCTTTTTAAAGGATAAGCCAGATCTGTCGCTTCCTTGCTTAAAATTAGCCCTTCATGGATTGCCATTGCATTCAGGATAAATTCCAAAGTACTGACCATGGCTTCCAAGGAGTAACATCATTAGGGCCTTGTCCCCCTCTCGATTCCCTGTCAAGGCATATGCCCGGGTTGCGGGCTCGATCCCCAGTCGGGGGTGTGCAGGAGGCAGTTGATCAATGATTCTGTCTCATCATTGATGTTTCTATCTCTCTTTCCCTCTCCCTTCCTCTCTGAAATCAAGAAAAATATATTTTTATAAAAGAAAGGCACTATTAGAGGCAGACTTTCTGTAAAGCTAGTGAAACTCGAACTTTAGGGCCTTGCACTTGCCTGGGCCCATTCAAGGCACTAGGAGAGGCCCCAGCACTGTCTTCTTAAGAGTCATGTGTATGTTTTTCTTTTTTCTTTTTAAATATATTTTTACTGATTTCAGAGAGGAAGGGAGAGAAAGATAGAAATATCAATGACAAGAGAGAATCATCGATTAGCTGCGTCCTGCATGCCACACACTAGGAATCAAACCGTGACCTCCTGGTTCATAGGTCGACGTTCAACCACTGAACCATACCAGCCAGGCTATGTTTTTCTTTTTAATTTGAAAAAATAAAATTGTAAAACTACAATTGGTTCAGACCACTGTGTCTTCCCACTCTAATCCTGCTTCCCAATATGAATGATTCTCAAGACACCTGGAAGTATGTGGGTAGTAGAGGAGCAACAAGGATATGTGTGGAACAAAAGCAAAGCTGTGAAAAATCCTATCAATTATCACATTTCATATTGAGATCAACTAAAAAAAAATCTCTCCTATAAGGAATATGCAGCATATACAATATAAATGCAGCATGCTCTGTTTTTTTTTTCTTTTTTTGTAGGAATTACACAAAGTAGAATTTATCAAAATTCCTGCTACAAACCTATAAGCAGTATTACAAGTGGCATATTCATCTATGTGTGAAGTGGCATGTTTATGAATCCTGACTGTTAAGAATGAAATATTTTTATCAAGCATGCAAGAGAAAAGAGAGATTCATCTATTCTCACTGGAGAAATTTATTTTTAAAAATCATTGACAGTTTGCCCTAACCAGTTTGGCTCAGTGGATGGAGCGTCGGCCTTCGGACTCAAGGGTCCCAGGTTCTATTCCGGTCAAGGGCATGTACCTTGGTTGTGGGCACATACCCAGTGGGGAGTGTGCAGGAGGCAACTGATCGATGTTTCTGACTCTCTCTATCCCTCTCCCTTCCTCTCTGTAAAAAATCAATAAAATATATTTTAAAAATTAAGATAAAATTGACATAAAGCTAATCATTAAAAAAAAAATCATTGACAGTTTTTACCTCCTCCTCTTCCTTTCTCATCCTGAAAATTTTAGTCCTAAAACTATTAGGTAGGGCAGAATAGGGTAGAGGTATGTGCCAGAGGGGGAGGGAGCCACAGCGGCCCCAAGTGGAAGTCAGAGCCCCAGCAGGGTGAGGAGGGCGTCCACGAGGAGTGGTGACCTGGCATGGGGTGACAGAGACTCAGCAGGGTGAAGAAGGGGACCCTGAGTGGGAGGGGGCAGCCTGACCCAAGATATCAGAGCCCAAGTGGGGTGAGGTATTTCTCATGGGATGGGGTGGGGCAGAGATGAGAGATTGGTTACAAAGAGGGGCTTGATCCAACAAGTTAATAAATTAAAAATAATGGAGGCCGGATTTCTCAGTGTCAGAGAAGGGAGATGTAAATACAGAAAAGTGAAAACTGGAATAAATCCCATTATGATGAATTAGCATTGCAGATAATAGTCTGACCTCATGTGTTTTTTTATTTTTTATTATTATTTTTTTATTTTTCTGGTTAATCCTCACCCGAGGATATTTTTCCATTGATTTCTAGGGAGAGTGGAAGAGAAAGGGAAAGACAGAGAGAAACATCAATGTGAGAGAGAAACACATCAATTGGTTGCCTCTTGCATATGAGGAGCCTGCAACCAAAGTATGTGCCCTTGATCAGAATCGAACCCGGGACCCTTTGGGTTCGATTTTGTAGGAATTATACAAAGTAGAATTTATCATAATTCCTGCTACAAACCTATAAGCAGTATTACAAGTGGTCCGCAACCGACCTCTATCCACTGAACCAACCCGACTAGGGCTCATGTTTTTTATTATATACATATAGGTATAGAACTAAATAGAAATGTGTGTGTGTGTGTGTGTGTGTGTGTGTGTGTGCGCGCGCGAGCACATGCACCTACATTCCTTAGCTCTGGGAGGGTCTGGGAGCAGTGACACCATAATAGCAATGAGCAGATCTTGGTTTCTAAATATGACTCTAGTGCCCAGATCATGGTTTTTAAATACTATTCTCCACTAAAAGATTAAATTAGAGCTTCTTGGAATAGTGGTTGACTTCAGGGGCTGGAAAAACGACATCTTGTTATACCAGAAAATAAAGGGTGTTCAGAGAATGATGGGGAATGTCAAAAGGATATAGACTCCAGCTTGAATGGGACTCCCATTGGCCAAATCTGTGACAACCTGGCATCAAAATAAATAAGGATAATAACAGATTACAAGCCACTGAATAAAATAGGAGACCATGAGTTCATACCTAAATACATGCACGCATATGTCCATCTACCTGGGCCAGGGTCTACACAGGAGCATTGGGTCCCCCCTGGGGACAACCTGGACAAATCATTGCAGCCAGCTTCTGCCCAGGCTACAGCTGATCTCTGCTTGGGCTGGAGCAGGTCGGCTCAGCAAAAGCATGTCTTCGAGGAGTCCAGCGATGTCAACATCTCCAATGATAGGGCGAAAGAAGAGGTCCCCAAGCAAGCTGGGTGGAATGGGCTTGAGGGTGGAGGCCATGAGGAGGACACAGGCCAAACGGCCTTGGCCTGCTGGACACCAGGGCTCCAGGACCTCACATAGTGCTCGATGAGCCTCCTGCTGCAGATGTCAGATGTGGGAGGAGGCATGGAGGCCTGGCATGTCTGTAGGCAGAGGGTAAAGAGGGGTGATGAGCTCTTCACTCCCTGCCACCACAGGGTGAGACTGGCCCCAGACCTGAGGCCACAGCTCAGCCTTTGAGGCCCATTACTACCTCCTCTATTTACTTAATTATCATTTTATTCATCCATCCATTTATGGAGAGGCAGTATAGAGTAATGGTGAAGAGCCAGGCTGCCTGTGGCTAGTGGCAGAACAACATTTCTGCCTAGATCATAGGTGGGCAACATCTTCAGACAAGGCAGTATCAAGGTGGGGGCCCAGGTAGCCACCAACTCTGAGGAACTCAGGCCACACAGCTCTGGCTGCACAATTGGGCCAATGGGTCCAGAAGATCAAGCAAGGACTTTGAAATCAGAGAGATCTGGGCTCTCCCTCTTCTTAGTGGCATGACCTTGGGCAATTCACTTCACCTCTTTGAGTCTCAAAAAGTAAAAATCTTACTCATAGGGACGCCCTGAATATTCGAGTAGAAAGTTCCTGGCACATAGTAAGTATTCAATAAACAGTAGCCATATTTTATTATCATTCTGCAAGGGCTTCTCAGCAAATACAGCCTCTCAGGAGCTCTAGGAATCCAGACTGGGGAAAGAGAGTTCTTAAGGATCTCATTTCTGCAGAGCCCCCAGAACTGGAGTCAGAGGAAGGGGCCTCCTAAACTGCACAGCGGGCAAAGTCCTCCCAGCCCCCCAGGATCCTGGCTCCCTTCCCTGAAGCCTGTTCCTTACCAAAAAACAGGAGCTGAGCCCCAAGGTTAGGCAAACAAGCTAGTGATAAGGCACTTCCAGGTTGGGCCTTGTATTCAAGGCTTGTCTAGCTCGGGAGCTGACATCACAGCTTAGCAAGGGTCCTGCAGGCACCAGCAGGGACACCTGCCATGGCCACCTGCTGAATGTGCACCTGAGGCCTTGGTACCCTGGTACAGCTTGGGTTAATGACCCTGTTTATCCACTTGAGTCATCCGATAAGGGACAGCGAACGGGCGGCCCCGTGCCCTGCACCATCCACTTCATTGACTAAAGTGATATCAGGGCCACGTGGAGCTTCCAAGTCCCCTCCCCCAGCACTTCCCCACCAGTCCTGCCAGGGTCAGTGTGTGGTTGTTTTTTTTTTTTTTCAATGAACATGACTTTCTAGAGTCAAGGTTGTTGAACCATTCCCCCCTCCTACCGGTGGGGATATAAATAGCACCCACAGCACAGATCAGAGGGCGGGAGAGCTGGGAGGAAGGAGGAACAGATTCTCAACCATGAACTCCAGCCAGCCGGGGACCTGTCCATGCCAGCATGCTGCAGGGCGCCCAGCCATTCTGTATGCACTTTTGAGCCCCAGCCTCGGGGCCAGGCCTGCTGTGCCCCCAGCCCGTAGGCATTGCCTCTGCAAGCAGCACCGACCTGTCCAGCTGTGTGCTCCTCATCGCACCTGCCGGGAGGCCTTGGACGTTCTGGCCAAGACAGTGGTCTTCCTCAGGAACCTGCCATCCTTCTGCCAGCTGCCCTCCCAGGATCAGCAGCAGCTGTTGCGGGACTGCTGGAGCTCCCTCTTCCTGATTGGGTTGGCCCAAGACACTGTGACCTTCGAGGTGGTAGAGGCCCCGGTTCCCAGCATACTCAAGAAGATCTTGCTGGAGGAGCCCAGCAGCAGTGCAGGCAGTGGCCAGCAGCCGGATCTGCCTCGGCCCTCACTGGCTGCGGTGCAGTGGCTTCAGTGCTGCCTGGAGTCCTTCTGGAGCCTGGAGCTGAGCCCTAAGGAGTATGCCTACCTGAAAGGGACCATCCTCTTCAACCCTGGTGAGCTCCCGGACACTCCAGGATGAGGGCCAAGGCTGGAGGGGGGCAGGGCCCAGCCAGGGAAGGCACCTTCTAAGGGTTTGACATTCGTTACCTCTTTGTGTCCTTATTACAGCAGTCATCTCATGAAAGAGGCTCAGAGAGGCTAAGTGACTTGCTGAAGGTCACAGCCAGGTAGGGGCAGAAATCAGGTCTGTTCACACCAGAGACTGGCCCTTGCCATTCTGCCCCCCAAAATTTGCCCTGACCCACAAGGAGGGTAGGAGTAGGAGAGGGGCAGGGGGCAGATTCAGCTGTGCTTCAATCACAGGTAATCTGTGGGTTCAGAAAGATCATATAGAGTAGAGGAATGAAAGTGAGTGGATGTGGGGGAGGAGAGGTAGGAGCCTTTATAAAATTCGGCTAGGAGAGCAATGGATAGAGGTAGTGTTCTTTGTAATCTGGAGAGCATCTAGATGATAAGTTCTCACCAAGCACCACGAGGCCCTTAAGAAATGTGTAAATTATAGTAATTAATTATAATAATAGTAGGGAAATGCTCATACTACACTTACCATATGTTAGACTCAATTCTATGGTTTTACATATACAGCTCATAACAAGCCTAAGAGACAGGTATTTATATCCATTTCATTTTATTTTATTTTTTAAATATATTTTTTATTGATTTCAGAGAAGAAAGGAGAAGGAGAGAGAGATAGAAACATCAATGATGAGAGAGAATCATTGATCGGCTGCCTCCTGCACGCCCCCTTACAGGGGATCGAGCCGTCAAGGGCATGTACCTTGGTTGCGGGCATATCCCCAGTAGGAGGTGTGCAGGAGGCAGCTGATCGATGTTACTGAGCCAAAACGGCTAGGCTGTACCCATTTTACAGATGAGGAAACCAAGTTACAGAGATGACATAATTTGCCCAAGGTCACACAGCTAATAAATGATAGCCTGGGATTCAAACTCAGGCAGCCTGGCTCTTCACCATTACTCTATACTGCCTCTCCATAAATGGATGGATGAATAAAATGATAAGTAAATAGAGGAGGTAGTAATGGGCCTCAAAGGCTGAGCTGTGGCCTCAGGTCTGGGGCCAGTCTCACTGTGGTGGCAGGGAGTGAAGAGCTCATCACCCCTCTTTACCCTCTGCCTACAGACATGCCAGGCCTCCATGCCTCCTCCCACATCTGGCATCTGCAGCAGGAGGCTCATCGAGCACTATGTGAGGTCCTGGAGCCCTGGTGTCCAGCAGGCCAAGGCCGTTTGGCCCGTGTCCTCCTCATGGCCTCCACCCTCAAGTCCATTCCACCCAGCTTGCTTGGGGACCTCTTCTTTCGCCCTATCATTGGAGATGTTGACATCGCTGGACTCCTCGAAGACATGCTTTTGCTGAGCCGACCTGCTCCAGCCCAAGCAGAGATCAGCTGTAGCCTGGGCAGAAGCTGGCTGCAATGATTTGGCCAGGTTGTCCCCAGGGGGGACCCAATGCTCCCAGAGGAGGCAAGCCTGTATAGACCCTGGCCCAGCGAGATGGACTGTATGAATCCTCACTCAGCCACACCCCATCTTGGCCTTCTTTGGTTTGGACATAGTGCTCCAGCTGTCTGGCTGGCCCTTGGTAGTCCCCAGATGCTCTGGACCAAGACTCCTATCCTCTCTTGGAATGGCAATGGAAGCTTAATTGCCCATTGGGCAGACATCCTACTGACTTTGTACAAAACTGACTTAAGTTATTGGTTTTTGTAATAAAAGGTTTTACATCCATGGAGCTGACACTGTGGAAGGGACCTTTGTGCATGTGGAAGGGACCTTTTCATCTCAGCCCCCAGCTCCCAGCCCCTATCAGAGGGAGCCCAAGAGGAAGGAACCACGAGGGATGCAGGAGCCAGGCCTCAGAGAACTGGGATATTAATTTCAGAGTAGATGATTTCATTTCTGGGGATATTTATTTTGCATGGGTCTGAATCCAGAGGATAGGGTCAGTTCAGGACCCCATCACCTTCTTGTCTTTATCTTTGGGGGGAAGGGGTTTCTCTTTGTCCACAAACCCCTCACTGATCCCTCCCCTCCCTCAGCTCCTGCCCCCTACAGGCTCCCTCTCACCTCAGCAAGTGTCAGATCATAGCCAATAAAGAAAACTGAAACAGACAAGGTCACTGGAATTTCTGTAGTTTGGCATCATTCACTTCCCCCATGCCTGCAGGCAACAGAAGAGGATGGTCCTTTGTTCTCCCAATGGGAGGGGTCAAGGACACTCAGGGCTGGCCTGGCAGCTGCTCAAAGGTCAAGGCAAGCAGAGATTTAGCTGCCACATTAGCTGTTAAAGTCTGAAACACTTCCATGACAGCTGGTTCACAGACACTGCCCAAGCTCTCCCAGCTCCCTTGCCCTGCCCCTGTATCCCTCCCAGTCCTTCTCCTGGAATCCATTCCCATTGTCCAGCAACTAGAGAGACAATGGTTGGCATAGCATGGCCTCCAGAGAGACAATGGTTGGCATAGCATGGCATAGCATATGCTCCATAGCATGGGAGCATTGGGTCACCCCTGGGGACAACCTGGCCAAATCATTGCAGCCAGCTTCTGCCCAGGCTACAGCTGATCTCTGCTGACCTCCATTCAGGGCACGGCTTGTATCTGGACTGGTCAATCTCTATTCCTCACTGGTTGCTAAATATTTTGAATAGCATCCAGGACAGGGTGACTGACCTGCAGGGTGGACAGGAGGGAATGATAACAACACACATGCTTATAGGACCCCCTTTCAGACCTCCTCCTTTCTCTGGCAATAAGGCCTGTCTCAAACAGGTCCCACCCCCTTCACCAACACAGTTTGAATTCTTCTCACGGGGGACAAGTTAATTATTGCCCAATGAGAGGTCATTCACTCAGGGACAACAGTCTAGGAGCCGAGCGGCTGAATTGGCCCTGTATGCATTATGGACAGCCAGTGGCAACAGCAAGGCCCCCCTGTCCCTTACCCTATCACCCACTCACCACTCAGAAACCCAGAATGAGACAGAAACACACAGTTCAGATCCCACACACAACTCAGACACACACGAAGACACATACAACTCAGATCTATAGCTCTCTCTCTCACACACACACATACACTAAGATGTACAACTCAGACACACCTACACAGATCCATAAAATAGACCCTCCATCTACCCATACACAGCATGGAAATACAGACACACTTACTCAGTGACATACAACAGACCCAACCAAACACATTCACACCACAGAGAAATGCACCCAGGCCAGATGATCACACATACACCCCTGTACCCAAGGGTGGGACACACAACATAGAGACACCCTCACACCAGGACGTGTTCTCCATCTTTTTTGTGTCACAGTAAAAGGAAAAGTGACCCCCAAAATAGGCAGACCTGCATCTGCACATCTACCAGGTCTGCTCAGAGGCTGCAAATCCAGGCCAAACTGCTCTGCCTGGCATTTGGGGCCTCCACTAACCAATCACCCCCTTTCCCTATGGTGACCCCAATATCCACTCTCCTCTCAACCAGATCATGCCCTGTTCAACAGCTCCTCCTAGCCCTGACTGGTTTGGCTCAGTGGATAGAGCGTCAGCCTACGGACTCAAGGGTCCCAGGTTCGATTCCGGTCAAGGGCATGTACCCTGGTTGCGGGCACATCCCCAGTAGGAGGTGTGCAGGAGGCAGCTGATCGATGTTTCTCTCTCATTGATGTTTCTAACTTTCTATCCCTTCCCCTTCCTCTCTGTAAAAAATCAATAAAATATCTTTAAAAACAAAAACAAAAACAAAACAAAACAAAAAAACAGCTCCTCCTAGCCAGGACCTAATCAAATCCCCAAATGGAAGCATCCTTTAGAGCCCAGAACGAGCCCTGCATCTCCCCAACCCCTTATCCCCGTCCAGACACCCCAGACCCAAACCTTAGGCCCTTCAAGCACTCCTCCCTGCCCTGCCCTTACCAACATTTTGGCACACACCACCCCCTCTCCCCTTGCAGATGCAGGAGGCCATTCTTTCCAGAGCAGACGCCTTGTCTCCCCATAGGAGGTTTAGGGATTTGGGGCCATTTTATTGTTTATGTCCCTTCACTAACTGATCCCATGAATTTACTGTTGCACCTCTTTGAACCCTCAGGCTGAGTCTTCGGCCTCTTCCTCTCCTCCAACCTTGAACAGCCATTAATTAGAAGGCACTCCTCTCCACTTCCCACCCCAGCCTTTCCCCCTCAACTTATGTTTCCATCATCCAAATAACTTCCCTTATTAACCCTACCTTGCCCCTTTTCAAATTTCTTCCCTACCCCTCCCTGTGATTTGGGAGCTACACTTAAGTCTGTTTCTTGTCTGTAACTCCAGTCACTTCTGACACCCTTCCCAAGCTACCTGGAAGAAACACAAAGACAAATATAGCAAAACTAAAGAGAGAATTGTAGGACAAGGCAGTAAGGAAAATAATGCTTCCTCTGTGAAACTGCAGGCTTTCCAAAGGTGGGGGACTGTCTCTCCACTATCAGCATCTTAGGAGTGGGACCTGTGTCTCATCAACCAGGAGAGTAAGAAGGAAACAGGCTCAGACAGAGTTGAAAACTTATTCAAGCCCAGCTGATATGTCTCTGTGGTTGAGCATTGACCCATGAACTAGGACAGTGATGGCGAACCTTTTGAGCTCGGCGTGTCAGAATTTTGAAAAACCCTAACTTAACTCTGGTGCCGTGTCACATATAGAAATGTTTTGATATTTGCAACCATAGTAAAAAAAAGATTTATATTTTTGATATTTATTTTATATATTTAAATGCCATTTAACAAAGAAAAATCAACCAAAAAATATGTATAAAATGAACAAAAACAGAAAAACAATGTACATTTAGAAAAAAAAAATAATAATAATAACAATGATAATCAAATGGTACGAAAACTAGAAATTAGTGACTTTTTTGGTGCTGAAGTTTGTCTAATTCTTTGATTGCAGGTTCGTACTTGGTGCACTTCAAGGCCAAGCAAGCGCCACTAACTTCATCTGTTAGCCAGTTTCTTTTGTTCGTTTTAATATTATTTAATGCTGAGAACAAAGTCTCACAAAAATATGTTGATGAAAAATTGTTAGCAAAGCCATCGCTAGATTTTTTATGTCGCTAAAAGTGTCAGGTACTCTGTTCCAAGCACTCAAAATTTCTTGTTCGTAATTGCACTCTTCTTCATTATTCAAACGATTTCGTTCCAAATTTTCAAGTTTTGACCTTAAGTCGACAAACACATGAGTCCGAATGCTACCTTGAAAATCTGCAAGTTGCATCTCTAAATCGTCAATTTGCATCCATTGGAAATCCTTTAATTCCAAAGTACTGTAAACAACTACATCCGGATACTTAATTATTTTAATGGTCTGTTCTAGGCTTCTAAATTGGTAAAATCTTTCGCTGAACTGTTCAAATAACGAGTTTACTATATTCTGGTACATAAGTATGGACTCCATTACACCTGTCGTAGTGGCCTTCTTGAAATACTTTTTTATACGAAGAAAATACTTATAAGTTTTAGTTTCAATGTCTGGCTTCAAAATTTTAAGTTTACTTTCAAAAGATTTGATGTATCCAAACATAACGTCAATACTTTTGCCAAAACCTTGTAATTTTAAGTTAAGCTCATTCATATGAACAGAGAGATCTGTAAAAAACATCAAATTGCTGACCCACTTATGATCATTGATCTGAGGAAAGTTTGCCAGATCCTTATTCTCAATAAATACCGTAATTTCTTCAAAGCACTCCACAAATCGCTCAAGTACTTTACCTCGACTCAGCCATCTCACATTATTGAACATCAGTAGTCCACTGTAGGTTGAATCAACTTCCTGTAAAAGTGCAGTAAATTCTCGCTTGTGAAGGGGTCGAGAAGCTATAAAATTCACAATTTTTGTTACAACTGACATTAAATCATTCAATTCTGAGAATCCCGATTTGGCACACAACACCTCCTGATGGATAATGCAATTAAAAGGTACAAGTGGATGTCTAATAGCTTCCATAAACAATTTCAGGAATCCCACATTTTTTCCCACCGTATTTGGTGCCCCATCTGTTGTGACTGACACAATTTTAGAGATATCAATGTTAGGTTACTGAATGTTTTTATAACAACCTTACATATTTTGTTTCCTGATGTACTTATTGGCACTGATTCTAACTTTATCAACTCTTCTCTTATTGTGAGACCATCAGAATATCTAGCAATAATGGCCAACCGAGCATTTGATGTGACATCAGTTGTTTCATCAAGAGAAATCGAAAAATATTTACAACTATTTAAGTCTTTTTTTAATTGATGTTGTATGTTTTTGTTAAGATCTATTATTCTGTCTTTGATAGTATTTCTACTGAGTGGTAACTCAGAAATTCTTTTAATAATATCATCTTTATTTTTCATATCGTGAAATAGAGCTGGTGCACATCTTAGAAATGTTT